GTCTTCTTCTTGAATATAAGAACTATGGTGATATATTTAGCTAGTAAAAGATAGATGCATTACTGGAGTACTTGGAATATGATTATAAGATCAACTTGATGCCGGGAATAACTCCTCTTTTTTGATCTATATACCCCTTATCTGAGAATGAGCTTAAGGTCTTCAGAGAATATCTTCATAAGATGCTGGCAACGGAAAAGATAAGATCTAATTCCCCTTCCATAGCCTCAATCCTCTTTGTACCCAAACCTGATAGTTTATTGAAATTATGTATTAATTACAGTAGGTTGAATAAGATTATGGTAAAGAGTAAATATCCTTTACTATTATGCATCAACAAAATTAACTGTGATTCAACGGAGGAAAATCTTCTGTGATGACAACTATACTTACCCACCAATCCACTATCATGAAAATCAAAAAAAAATTATAAGAGGTAAATACATAGTAGAAATTAATATTTGGTATACTATCCATCAGCCTTAATAATTGTCTTTATTCTATCCACCATTGATCCAGCTAAAGTGTCAAAAACCATTGGGTCAAGAAGTTCTCAACAATGAGTGATGGCCTCTACTATTGCCTTCTTGACTACATTGATATTATCCTTCATAAGATATAGCTCAAGGTAGTGCTTATGAAGCTTACTTTTCACCAGAGACTAAATATTTTCAATTGGATTGAGATCTGGTGAATAGGCAGGAATTTCTATCAGTGTAATTCCCTGCCCCTTTGAGTCATCTCCTAAAAGGCAAGTGAGTCTTAGTATTGTCAATGATAAAAAATACCTCTTCTTCTCCAGCCTTTTCTCTGATATTCTCCCATATCCCTAGAAACTCATAATGATCATAAACATCAATAATTGACTTCCCAGTAACTCCACTCCTAGTAGAAGAAGAATCAGGAAAAACAGGCAAAAAAAGACCATGAGTTTGACTATAAAAACAACCAGTCATCATCTGACTAATCCCTCTCTCCCCTCTCCTATCCTTAGGTTCAATACAATTTGTAACGTGTTCGCAAGGTGCTAATCACGTTATCGATAATGGATACGATAGTTGGCAGGTGGCCTGCTCTTCCAGAGAGGAGGCGAGAGCTGAGAACTAAAGGAGGCTTCGAGGGCGTACTGAGGAACAAAGAAGTAACCGTTCAACCAAGTATATTAAAATACTGTCTGTCGAAGTCTGCCTTTTCTATCGTAGAAACAGGCGGTCTTTAAATACACAAATCTGTTCATGTCTAGCATGAACGAAACTAATCAAAGGTATCAATTGATACTCTTTGGTAAAACTCTTTAAGTATCAAAGCGATACTTAAAACAAAACATAAAACAAAACCAAATATCAAACGATACTTAAAACAAACCAAGTATCAAAGCGATACTTAAAACAAAACATAAAACAAACCAAGTATCAAACGATACTTAAAACAAACCAAGTATCAAAGCGATACTTAAAACAAAACATAAAACAAAACCAATAACCAAGTACCCGTACCGGTTACACAATTCTTATTCCATTTCTCATATGAGTATCTGAAAAGCCATTTTCTCCTCTTTCCTCCCCCTCTTTCCACAGCTACCTCATCCTCCCCACATTGCCTCCCTTCTCCACATCTTCTTTGTCCAATACCTATGAGCTAATACCCATTCCAACCTCTCTTGAGCTAGATCCTCATCCGAATGAACTCTCTCTTGTATCATCCACTTTCTAAGATGCTTTTTTTCAAGTTTTCTCCTTACTGTCCTACTAGAAACATTGGGAGCAACTTGCCTAGCAATGTAAGAATAGGTAGTATGGCGATTTTTAAGAGCTTCCTCCACCATAGCATTATCTTATGACTTGGTAGTTTTAGGATATCTTTCTCTACCCTTATTCTCCTTACTTTCTTGATGTCCCTTTGCAATTGTATTTCTAACAGTAGTGTAGGGGATATTAATGTAGTGGGAAATTTGCTGATATCTCATCTGAGGCTCATGTAACCTGAGAATCCTCCCCCTGGTAAACTCAGAGAGACATGTGGAGGAAATAGGTTTTTTGGCATGACTGAAAAGAATAGGAGACATAGTTTATTGAAAAAAAGAATTGAGCAGAATGGTTTCTTCTTGGTTGACTTAGAGCAATTTTTTTAGGTACTGTTGAGAGTGCAGGGTGATGAAGAGGGGTGGGTTGCTACCGATTGTTGAATCACAGTTAATTTTGTCAAAGCACAATAGGTAGTCAACCTATAATACTATGCCAGTATCTAGACTTCCTTTCCAATGATTTCCATGAGATTGTCTATTGTATGAGAAGATTGCTGCCAGTCAGTGATGTCCTTGTGACTACAGATGTAGCTAGTAACATGGCAAGGATTCAGCAGATTGACGAGGCCTTCACTTCTCCTGTCAAAGACTGCGGCTCCAAGTTAAGATTTTCCATTCTGGCTGGAGCCGCTAGTATACCTGCAGCAGGCACTCCAGCCTTCACCCTAGCTCAAGTCATTATTAACGTAACATTGTGGCCACCAGGCGGCCCGGCTCAATGGAGCGTGAATAGACCTCCAGACCAGGCACCCAAGGTCCCCCGAAATCCGCAACCCCCGGCATCCCAACGGCCAATAAAAAAAAAATAAAAGAATAACCCGGTAGCCCCAGAACCCCGAGTATCCAACTGTGCGCTAGGCCGTAGAGTCGCCCGCTCAGGTGATGCCCAGTATTATACTTTTAGTTCTTATTTTCAATTTCTCGTCTCTCGGAGGGGGGGGGGCTGAGCAGCAGCCAGTTCTGACTACGCCCCCTCGAAAATTTCTCAAGAATTTGTAATTCTCGACAAGAGAGTTATCCGCTGGATTGTCTAAGCTTCTACGGCATCATTCCGTCCTTATGGGGAGGGAGAGAAACCATCCCCAATTCTTGCGCCCTCAGATACCATACTAAGGCAGTGCCGCAGCGTCCACGTCTACAACACCACCTACCCACCGCGTTGTCGGTAGGAATTACACCATCATCCACGATGCCCCCTGATGTAAATTATAGTGGGAAGTACGTATACCACCTTCTCCAAACCCACGGCCTAGTAATCATATATTCGCACTCGCTTGGCATGGTGGCAAGGCCGAAGAGTCCAAATGCTCAGCCCCCGTTCATCATTCCCGTACTAGCCTTGTCCGGGGATGCGGCCGGAGTCGCCTGCGACATTGAATGGACGGGGATGTACTGAGTTGGTTCGCCTGGGGTGGTGCCTGTCTTGGCTGTGGCTATGTAGTGGTATCACGGTTAGGTCTGGGGGGGTGGTGGGAATGTGATAGCACCCCAGTAGAGTGAAATTGTGTGATAGAATACGAATTCGATCGATTGAATCTCAAAGGATTCACCCATAATATACAACTCGTTCGGGTTGCCTCCTCTAGTAAGGTCTAGCTTTTTTTATATATATTTTTATCTTTGTCCTTCGGAGAGGGTGTTCACCTTCTTCTGTGTTATCCGCCCTTTTTCCAAAGGGAATGTTGCACCACCCAGAGCACGTCTCACTTATTTAGGATTCCCCGATAAGTTACTGTAGTTATGATATTACACCTATAGATGAGGTTTCGTAGATACAGCTGAAATAGTGGCAAGTTAGTCGAGAAATTCAAGAGAGGTACATCACCCCGCCAGTCGCCACCAAAACCCATTCATCTAATATACCAACCCCACCCTAACGTCCACATAAAAAAATGAATTCCCGTCTTTTCCTCCCCTTTGCCCCCGTTTTTGCAGCCACTCACCAGCTACTCCCGCATCCGCTCCCCAAAAACCACAGGCTAGGCGATGACATAGGGATAGCGCCCGAGTGATGTTTTATGACCAACACCCACCCGTTCATCAAACAAACACGCTGCCCCCTTCCAATCCGAGCACATGGCGGCGGACCCGCCTCCGTCGTGCACTGCATTGACATGGTCCTCATCATCTAATTGGATAAAGAGAGATAATGAGGTGGAATGCGCAGGCCGGGTAATTCATGTAAGTTCTTGGCGAGGTGCCGCTTTATTGTGGGTGGTGAGGTTTCGGGAACAGCCGATCTGCCTATGGTAGCAGTGGTGTTATCATAAATTATGTTACGTACGGGTACTCGAGTGCCGCCTACCGCAGTCTCTAGAGTGCGAGCACGGGTTGTCCTTAGAATTGCTAATACGATGCTCAAGGATGAGCATAAGTGAGGCGAACTCTTGGAAGAAAAATAGGGCGAATTCAGGTTTACCTGGTCAAAATTAGCGATTGTAACCATGCAGAGGGCCAACCTTGGAAGTTTTTTCTGAAGAGGGTAAAAATTGAGCGAAATGCAAATAATTCCGAGCACAGAAGCTTCATGATATTATGCTCTCCCACCGGCCGAGTAACCTAGGAGCCAATAAGAACAAGTTAGCCTCACCGGCTTTTAACACCCTGTACAGCATGGTACAGTGTAGTGCTTTTGTGATATTGATGCGAGAGAGATATCCGGGGCCATGGGAGGAAGCGCTATGTGGCCCGAGTTACGGTACTGGAGTTTCACCTACCGTACTATATATACGAGGTGGTAAAATACCGATTCCAACAGATAGATTGTATCCTACGAACTCACAAATAACATACCAAGGCTACCATACCCCCTACCCACCCCCCACATCCCACCTCAAATACACGCCCGCCATAAGCCCATTGATTAGCCAAGAGAAAAGAAGAGAAAAGAAACCGGGGGAATGCTCCGAAACCCTTGATTTGCCATCTCAAAAGGTGTATCATACCTTTGTGTGAAACAGATACAGCTCTCTCCACCTAGTGCCCCAGCCCATCCATCTCGATTGTCAGGTCCATATATGCCAGACCACACAGGGAGTGCAGTTATAAATTCGGAAATGGCACGATACCTCTCTAGAAGGAAAGCAAAGGGAAAATCCGATACACGGTGCCCGCTACTACGTCAATTCAGCAAGGAGGCTGGCGCCGTAGAGTACAGTACAGCGCAGCCTCCGAGACAAAATATGATGATTCAACCTACCCAAATGGAATACAACCGATACATTAGCTTTCCTCGAGCACTGCACCATGCCGTATTGTATTGTCTTGTACTACATGATATAATACCTCTCTACTCAACAGCCTTACTTAATACAAATCCCAACCCAATCCTTCCTTCCTAGCCCAAATTAGGAGTAAAAAGATGTGATAAAAAGGAGAAAAGAGGAAGGAAATTTAGGGGGAAAGGTTATACCGACAGTATCGCCCACGTTCCACGATTTCTGCAATAGAGACACCAAGTAAGATGAAAGAAACTAAGGTGGAAAGGGGGGAACTAAAATAAAATCAACTTGAAAAGAAATAAAGTGAAGAAGAAACCTAGAAATCCGAACCAAAGATACGCCAGCCCCCTCTATCAAAAGCGATAATTTCCCAAAAACTCAAAAACTCAAACCTGTGTTCTTTTTTTACACAACGCTAGCCCAACTAGACTAAGACGGACAAATAGGACTGCAACAACGACAACGAAGAGATTAGTATAAATACCCCCAGCTTAGATCCTCCTATCATGATCCCCCTGCTCCATCCCCCACATACCCGTATCGCCACCAGTCCCACCAGGCGGGGCATTCAGCAACGCAGAAAGCATGTCCTCACTAGTAGGGTCAAGCCCCTCGAAGCCAATACCACCCGGAGCCGGGAAATCTGCCGGCGCGAATCCCCAATCAAATGTGTCCACCCAACTAGTGTCCATCTGTGCAACAGTACTGCCACCGGCGGGGTCACCACTAAACCAATTCGGTGTGTTCATTTGCTGTGGCGGTGGTGGTGGTGGTGGCAATGCTGGAGCTGGAGTGGGTGCTTGGTGTAAACTAGGGACTTCCAGGGTCTGGGATTGCGATTGAGATTGCACATCCGCAAAGAACCCCCGAGACGAGTGGACGCTTGAGTTCGAGGCGCGACGTGTGCTGTCTTGCGGAGATAGCATGCGCGATGTGTTTGTCGAGGCTTGGTTTATGACTGTGGAAGCATGGGCCTCGAAGCGAGCTCTCGAGCGTTGGGCTATAGGCCAGCGTTCTGCGAGGTCGCTGAGGAGTGATGAGCAGGAATTAATATCTTCCATTAGCACCTCGTGCGTTGTGTGGGTTTGCACTTCGCGGCAATTCTTGTGGGCGAATAGCATCATCATTCCGCTTACGAATATCGATTGCACAGTTAGCCAGGAATGCTGGAGTTCTCCGTAGCGTTTTAGCTTTGATTGTATGCGGATCGTTTCAACCGACGAGGAGAAACAGTGCTGCAAGGCTGTTGCGGTAGGTTTCGGGAACACGGGAGAGGGCCTGAAGAGGAGTTGGACTGCTTCGTGATATTTGAGCTCGACCATTTGGCCACTACCCAAATGTGAGCCACTGCTCCCCGATCCTCGTCGCACACCACCTAGCGAAAGTCTCACTTGATCCCGAAGTTCCGTCAATTGCCGATATGTCGCCATCTGCCATTCCGGTAAATCCACCTGCCAACGACCAACATGAGGCTGTGAAACCCGGTAGATTGTAGTTCCAATGCCGCTGATAACTTTCATCATCCTGAAAAGGCAGATTGATCCAGAGAACGAGGCGCGGGCATTCTCGATACTACCAGACATATTAGACCCCATCGATAGCGACGCCATATGGTGCAACTCCTCATCATTATCCCCCTCCTCAGGAAATTCCACATCAAACGATTCGTCCCGCAATGAGAACGGTCTACCCAGGGCAATCCCGAGATTCCTGTCAAAAGCATACGCACACCAAAATATCCTCTTCTTAATCCCAGCATGGTCCCCACCACTATACGAAACGATCTTCCGCTGAAACCCCAGATCCACACACGTTGCCATGATGACGGCATTTAGATACCAAAGGTTAAGTCCTTCCGATGCGTGCAGTGACCGCATAGCCAAAAGTAAGGCACTCTGAACACCCGTCAGACTCCCAGTGATGCCAATATCATCGATAATCTGCATGGCACTCGCATAGTACCCTTCCGAATCCGACGCCATGCTCCGACTAGCTCGGCCTCGTCCAGAGAGGATATTGGCGCCAATAGACAACACCATGAACACATGGAATCGGGCAACGGCCGCCGTGTACCCGGGTGGGAGGTGATGAATGGCTCCATTCTCGGCGTGATAGGTGGCCTCAAGACAAGCGTCGAATGTTTGGCGGTGCAGAAATGGATATTGTAAGGCCACTGTGGTAAAATAGGTCGACGATAGGGTAACACACTCATCCGTGTTCGGAAGCGCAGCGGGCTTAGAATCCAGCCCTGGCCAGACCGAGCTAGGTTTGACGTCTCTGCCCCCCTGATCCAGATCGGGCTGTCGAAACTCGCCGCTTGAAGCGTCCTGGAAGACCAGCCGCGCAAATGAAACACCCGAAGAGGATCCAAGGTACTTTGGCTCCTCGAGGGCTGAAAGTGACAGCAACCCCACATCCTGAGACACTGGATCCTGAGGTTGAAACAGTGGGCTGGAGGCAAGTAACGGACTCGAGGGTGCCGAGCTAGGCGATGGTGATGCCGCATCGGAGAAGGTATATGGACTCACAGGAGCTAAGTAATTAGGCGACGGAACAGGAGAGAAGTCGAAAGACGCCGGGGTCGCACAGGTTGAAGCCGGAGAAAGAGCGAATGAAGGGGACGAGGTTGAGCTCATCGACGAAGGCGGAGGGTGGAAATCCGGCCCTGTTGTTACAATTCGAATGGCGGGAGGTGAAGGTCTCGACCTTAGCTCTACCGGCGGCCCAGCCTGAAGGTCCACATCGGGTGCTCGAGCACGAACGATATCTTCTAACCATTTGATCCTGTTCTCGAGTCCAAGTACATGACTAAATTTTTCAACGAAGCAAAAGGTTTATGACGACACAGATCAGCCCCAGATTCCATTTTCCCATGGACACCCCGCTGGGGCATCAGAAACTCTAAGAAAATTGCGCACAGTATAAAAGTATTTTCTTACCTCCGTGGCATATTGTTATCCCCAGTCCTATCCACTTCAATACACTCGACTCCTGCCTTGACGCAACTTTTACAAGCGGGTAGAGCTCCATCACAGCGGATTTTCCTGGTACGACAACGCTGGCAAGCTGTCACCGTCTTCTTCTTCACAGCAGCGCCAGGCACGGGAGTAGCAGCCGTTGGTGTTGATAGCGAAGAGGTGGAAGCAGACCGAGAGCGATTAAAATTTGGTGGAGGCTTCCCCAGTGATTGCGAAGAAATAGATGGCTGCTGCTGTTGCGGAGCCCACCCCGTGCCGCCACTAGCTCCGGTTCCTTGCTGAGGTGGAGTCCCCAAAAACCCGCTCGAGTCCATCATACTGCCACCAGGACCTCTGTTTCCCTCGTCCGGGAAACTCACCGAGGGGACAGATAGCGTTCGACGTTCTCTCTTCATCAATTGGAGGTTCGTCGCCTGCGTTTCTTGACTCGGCCCGTTATCTTTTGGTTCTTTTCCTTTTTCGTAGGGTTGTCTCTCTTTTTCTTTTTTCTTCTCAAGATGGTCCCCCTCCCACGATGTGCGGTAGTACTGACGATGGACAAGTAAATAGCGATGGACCAGACTTGGTTCCAAGAAAAAACTCGAGCCTTTGTCCCCTCTTCTTTTCCTTTCTTTTTTCTGGCTCCGTTTCCTGTCCTTACTTCCTTGACTTTCTAGCCCCGCCCTTCCTCTCTTTACTTCTTTGACCTCTTTCCTTCGCTCACTGATCCGATCTGATATCCCTCCCCCGTCTTCCGTCTTCACCACCTAAAACTTTTTTCTCGCGCCTTCGCTTAGTGTTCCTTTGCTTAGCTCAGTATCCTTATGGGCCTAATAAGCTTCCGGTATCCCGAGGTTACCGTCGCTCACTGGTTCAACAACGGTACCCAGTAGTTTGTAAGCGGTCGAGGAAAGAACGATAAGGACGACAACAGTAGTGGTTCCCCGACTGAAATTCAAGCTCATGATAATTGCGACAATAGAAAAGTGAAAAGTGAAGGAGAGAGAAAGCAAAAAAAAAAAACACAAAATGTATGGCAGTGGCGAACGAAAATCAATAAAGATGCAGAAGTGGGGGGTTGCCTTTGGATTGGGTTGGATGCTGGTGAAAACAGATAAAAAGCGCCCAAGTAGGAAAACGAATGAAAATGGAAGAAAATAAAATCCCCCTAAAATTGACACCGTCCGGTTGAGGAAATATCAAAAACGACCACTGTAGTAAAGGGATAGTATAATATCGAAGGAGAAGTGTCGGAGACGATGACCGGCGGAGATAGTTGAGTGGATGGATGGGAAGGGGAGGAAGCTACTTCAAGATCTCTCATCTACCACGTCTACTTGATCTTTGGGGTACAGTTGGCGTTGACCAATGTATTGAAGATAAAATTAAAAAAAAAAATTAATAAAAGCAAAGGGTGGAAGAAAGAGAAAAGGAAAGATTAAGAGAGTCGGCTGTTTTAGGTAAGGACACTAGGGGGGGGGACGGAGGGGAAGATTGTGGTTGGGAGCGATGAGAGGTGTGGGATTCTGAGGAACGGCAAGCAAGCAAGCAAGCAGGAAGTATTCGACGTTTAACGGTAGCAAGACCCGCCCAGCCCAGGCGAGGCGAGTTCGGATTCAGTAGCGGTATCGTAGTCGCGCGCCACTTGCCAGGTTAGCAAGGCATGAACATGGACAACAACCCCTCAACCATCCATATATCCCAACAACCCAAAATAATAGCTAGGTAGATAGACGACGGGTAGGGCAAAGGGAAGGGGAGAGAGTTATCAGAGGCTGGCTGTAGGATGTTGTGGAGCGGAGTATGGAATTGGGAGAGAGGAAGGGTGGATATAATGGGGAAAAGGGTACCAATATCCAAAGCGAACAAGCCCAAGGACAAAAGGCTCTATAAAATTGCGGGAGTGCGAAAAACGAAAGGCAGTACTATATAAGGGCAGCGCCGACGATACAGCACAAATAATAGGGGGGAGCGTGAAAAATGAAATTGACCCTCAATAACAATTCTCTTGGTTCCTGGCAGTATTCCATCCTTAACAAGACATCCCCCTCCTCTTCCACCTCTCTCTCCCGGTACACACGAGGCTACGGGGGCTGTGTCATGCTGACTTCACCAGATCCAACTCTAGCATCAGACGGTCACCAACTCCCAGAACGCTTACTAGCAGCCAGTAGAACACTCGGAATCCATCCTCCAACAATCAAACTTACCAGTGCTCGTACATTCTGATTCTGATTCTGATTCTGATTCTTTCCACATATTCTGCCGACATATGCATCGAGTCCTCCTTTCATCTTCTCACCTGCACCCTCGGATTCTGCGCCAAAGACCTTCACCCGAGATGGTAATGAACCCGGGCTGTGCAGTGATATGTACAGTATGGCGCAGTGCTCGAGTGTATGGCAGACGGAGCGAAAAAGCAACTCTTGAGCCGAAAGCTTGTTACCCCCCACGGGCGAATTGAGGTGCCTGCCCGTCCATCGGTATCGCATCCTCCTCCTTTTGCGGCTCTCGGAAAGGGAAACGAAACAAAGAATCTGCCCTGCGGCAACAAGCGATGACGTTGTGAGACCTCGGCGAAAAGCACTAACAAAGAACAACGTGTGCATAATCGCCAGCCCGCAGCCGTGGGCAGTAAGGGATTGGAGAGAGGAAGCAGAAGGGAGGTACCGGAGTTCGTCTCCTATTGACCGTGGGTCGCAATCATCGTATTTCGAAATTCGATCAGGCGAGCTTCAAATAGTGCATCCCAAGTTGCCCTACCCACTATGCCTATTATAAAAGACCTATTTCTATATATCAAATCTAGCGGGGAGATTTCACTTCCTAGATACACAATCGCAGTCGCTTCGCCCCAATTGTCACCATATGGTGAAGTCTTCTTTCCCACAATACGTTCCTTTCTCCCTAATCCCTCCGCTCCCCCCGCGAGCATGGCTTATACTATGCAAATGGAGTGCAGAATTCGGAGAATGGACCGGTACACGGTATATACCACCACACATCCCCCTCACAAAGAGACCTGTAGTCATCGAATAGAGCAGAAAGCCCACGGGCCACCTCCGTCTGTCTGTCCCTCCACTGCTAGTAATTTTCCAAGGCCTGCAAATACCCTTGGGCCCGCATCTTCCTGGATATGTATCTTGGACCAATCCACAGAGCCCAACAACGCATAAAATAAGGAACTTTGACCTAGATCTAGGTACTTGTAGTCAGTCGACTGAAAATGCCTTATGTCCACCCTTTTCCAATCGAAATCTACTCCTCGACAGGTCTCGAAACCAGATTGGTACTAATCAGAATGGATACAAGTATATTGATTAACAGCACGTCTCATGTATCCGGTGTTGGCGCTATATGCAGGCTTATAGATACTCCACTATAACAATACTCAAGTAGAGCCCGAAAGAAAGAAGAAAACCCGGGGAAAGAGAGCAATACCGGTAAGCAGATATCTTGTTCCGTCGGACTGGCAAAAGGTTTTGACAATCATGAGCTGTCCATCAGGTAGGGTCAGGTCTCCAACAAAATCTCCGATGTGAAACTCCGCCCCACAAATGATGTGTTAACCATCTCTCTTGAACCACCTCACGACCAAACGCCAATTTTTCACAAGAACCGTGTTTTGCTTTTCGCTACAGTGTTCGAGCGCTCGAGCACATTGTCCGGTACGAGTACAAGTACTTGTACTCGTACAGAAGTAAGGAACATACCGGTACTGTACAGCACCGGCCATCATGCGGTTTACACATTCCCACAAACGATGCGCCAATTCCAGACCGAAATCCCCCCCCCAGGCCGCGCAGTGGGATTTAGCAGTCCAAGCCTCAACCTCGATCCTCCGAGTCGGGCGGAAAATACTCGTAAAGGAAGGAGGAGGATGATCGGCGGTTGTTGTCTGAATCTTGGCAAAGGATCCACAAGCAAAAACCCAACCACCCACCCATATTTCACCCCCAACAAACGTGCATTTAAAATAACCCCTGCCTCCTGAAATGTAATGCAACGGAGGTCGTTCCGCTGGACGCTAATCCCAAGATCGGCTACCGTATTTCCCCACTTTGTCCAAACTCGGCTATGGCGGTTAGTGACGGGACGGGATAGGGTACTGGAGTCAGGTCCCCAATACCGTCGGAGGTGAAAGATGATTAAATTTTAACGTATCATAATTTGGTGCCAGGAAGGGTAATATAGGAAGCTGGGGCAGCCCGAACCCCTGTCCGCCTCATGATTAACCTCCACAACCCAAACTTCAGTAGCTCTCCCAGTGAAGAAGTGCCCAGTAAGCATTAAAATTTACTCGATCGGAAATGGAAAGGGAAAGAGAAGGAAAAAGGAGTCTGCGCTCATTTCCCTTCACCCCCTCTGCTCTAAGTTACCGGTATTGGTATTGTTACCCGTGCGAGCATGGCACAGCATTGTACTCGGGGGGTTTTTTTTATGCTGCTTCACGACTGATTTTGCACCGCCGCAGACAACTTTGTATGAACGTTTATGGTACCTGTTATTGTCGTATCATACTTGAGTAGACCGCATAGCGCCGGTTCTTGCACAAGTAGGGTAGACAGATATGATAAGGGATATGAGGACAGAGGTCTCATGCAATTGCTCACAAAGACCCACTACCGTACTCGTACTCCACCGGTATATCTTAGGCTACGGCCTGATAAAGCAAGGAGCGCTCACACCCGGCGCGCCGTACTTGTCCATGACTACGAGTACTGGAGACTCCTCAGGCGGGGAGACTGAGCGTATGCACGCTCCTAGTGAAGTGCCATAGCAATGCCCGACCACAGCAGAATAGTTTGATTGCTGTAATTCAAAAGACCTGAGGGTAATTCATGTGCGCTCTCCCTTTTCCATAATCAACCAAAACCAATAACAGAAAATGAGACCACAAAACACAAGGCATGAGAGAAAGATGAAAGATAATATTGAAAAAGAAAGAAAATAAAATAGAAAGGTATGTTCAGATCATTCCCTCTATCAAATGCAAATCCCTAACCAGTTGAAATTCAAGATACTATTATCAGAGAAACTGGCCAAAAACAAGTATATGCATATGTCACAGTGGTCACCATGGGAGAGCAGTAATTGAGGAGAGAGGGTTGAGAGAAGGAGAAGAACTACTTGGCTGAGAGTGATGTTAAAGGTTAGTTAATATACTAAAGAAGTAGGTGAGAAATAAGAAACTGGATAATACTTACAAAATATTTGGTGAATGGGAAAATAGGGTATGTGACTGGTCAGGAAGATTTAGTGATGGATTGGAAAAGTTCCATGACTCGGGCATGGAACTTGCGATATGTTCCTCATCAACGTCACTTCCAGAGTAGTAAGAGGAGGGTGCTGTACTTGGAACAGGACTTGGAAAGTCCACAACTGAGAGAAAGGGCCATGAAAGTTGAATATCCTCAAATGAGAATATGGAAATTGTAGGATGCAAGGAGGAAAGCAATGGAGTAGTGGAGGAGGAGGAAGAGAGAGGGACAGATTGTAAAGAATTATCTTGGTAAGAGGAAAAGGTCGAGGTAAGTTCCTGTATCCGTTGCTCAACTTCATTAAGAAAACTATGAGAGTTATCAGTAGAGGTGTCTTCAAGCTGTAGAGGTGTCTTCAAGCTGATAAAATGTTGCCCGAATCTGTTCGCTAACCTCGCACATTCGCAGAATACGGTCCATTCTTCCACTATCATCACCAAAAGCTACTACTTCCAATTGTCTTCGTCCTTTCTCCCTAAGTCTGCGATCCTCATAAACCTCCATACCTCTTCAAAATAATCAATAAACCTCTCCCACACCTCACTAGTCAAAAGTCCCTGTGCTCTGTCCAAATAGAAGATGTGTCGACAAGGAAGGGTATAGCGGAGGAAGAA